CATTCAGTCTCTGGTGTCAATCTAGGGAACATTAAATTGGCTCCGCCGACTCTGCCTTGGCTGGTCCCCCTGCTGAAAACCCATCATAGATAGCGTGTGCTCCCTCGGCACCGGGTCTCAGCAGCTCTGGGGCTCTGAGGGGAGAGGGACATTCGATTTTCCTCACTTAAGACCTGTTTTTCAGACGTAGGCTGACATTTGGGCATCTGAGGTTTAGAGCAGGGCAGTGGTTCCAGCTGGTTCACACTCCTGAGTCGTCTGTGCTTTCCAGAGCATTTGAGCCAGGCTGGCAGGGTCAATGGGCTGGGATTTCCACCTGTGACCTCCGTGGAGCCCTCTGAGCAGGGTCAGCTGGACGGTCACTGCCATTCTGGGGAAGCTCGCCCTCGATCTCACGCCCGTTGATTCTCTGGGTGTCAGCTGCTTCCATCTTCCAGGGGCTCAGGGGCCCTTCTTGGCGGAGATTTTGCTGGGGAAAGTCAAGCCCAGGACAGCCTCTCTCTTGGTAAAGTTGTCTTGACTCCTGGGAGAGCCAACTCAGCAGGGAGATTGATGGTGCTGGGCAGACAGAGAGAAGAAAGTCCATGGGGCAGCAGCAGCAGGGCCCGGGGGCCTGTGGGGTGGGGCCTGGGACACCTGCCCCTCGGCAGACCCAGGAGGAGTCCCACAGAGGGACATGGAGATCCTAGGGCAGCCAGTTGGACAGGGCTGTAGGGCCAGGGGCTTCCTGGGGCTCCTGGTGTTGGCATGGCCCTGGGCATGTCCCAAATGATGGACGTTGAATTTCCTAGTACATTGGGTAGGAGTGGTTGGGACTTAGACTTGGAGTTAAGTTGGCTTAAAGGAAATAAATCCAGGTCTTATCTTGCACATCTCAGTCACAGGTGGTCAGACCTGGCCCACAGACCACTGGGTATCCTGAGTTCGCCTGCACTCTCCTCTTCAAAACCGCACTTTAAATAGGAAAATGAAACACACAGGATCGAAAGCCCGTTGTGCGATAGTCACACATGTCAACGTGGAAAACTCAGCAGGTAGCTACGTCTGAGCGTCTGGTCCCCCCAAGGGCATGGGCTGGGGTCCTCACTCAGAGGGGGCTCTGGGCGTTCTGAGACCATGGGGTGCAGCCTCTTGGTGGCATTAGTGACTCCTGGAGAGGCCCAGGGAGCTGCCACCCGTCACCATGTGAGGAGACAGTACGAAGGTGGGGCGCGGTTCTTGCTGGTGACAGCTGAACATGCCTGAGTCCCCACTCTGAAGGCCCACCCTCCAGGCGGGGAAGCCAGAGCCACGCCCTCTCCCCACGGTGCAGGCCTCTCCCAGCTCCTCTGGTGGCGGGGCTTGTCCTTTGCTCCTCACGCTGGCTCTACTGTGCCTGTGGGCTCGCTTCACGGTGGCAGTCCTGGTTATGGACAGTCCTGCAGCCAGGACTCCAGGCTGGGGTCTTGGGGACACATCTCAGCTGGCTTTATTCAGGACCAAGCTCTGTTGGAAGCTCCTTGGGGCTCCTGGAACCTCCAGCATGCGTGGCTTGAGAAGAGCTAAGAGTCACCTGGTGACCCCTGTGGACGGACTCCACATGGAGCCAGTGCTTGTGGTTTCTTTGAATCACACACAGGTTTCTGGTGCTGCGCCGGCAGGAGACGTGGCTTGGCGCTAGGTCTGGTGGTGGGATGGCGTGGGGCCTCACCTGGCGATTGGCAGCCATGATGGGCTGGGTTCCCCAGCCCCAGAGTGAACTTGGCTCTGCTTGGTTTGCCAAGAAGAAAACGGGTGTCTGTGGTTCCGTGTCTCAAGGTTCACGCTGGGCCAGCGTCAGCAGAGACTCATCATTCACTTACGAGCGCCCACCCCTTACACACCCAATGTACGTGGTGTAGACCAAGCAAGGCCTGCACCCCGCACGTCGCCCTCTGCCCTCGTGGCCTAGGTTATGACTTTAGATCATCTTTACTCCAGGAACCAAGCCACTTTACCAACAGCCCATTTGATGTCCACATCTGGGTTTTTAATTTGTACTCTCTACTTTCTCAAATCCCAGTTTCAAAAACTGTCCCCTATCTTTGTGGGAACGTGCATATTAGTTGCAGGGCAATCTGGCCTAACCGGGAGGTCACTGAAGGAGCTTGGGTTCAGCTCCCGAGGGAGTCTCCCGCCTCTGAAACGAGGCCTGTGTGAGACCAAGAAGGCCCCAGGGGGAGGACTAGATGCAGCCACTTCTTCAAATGGAGAAGCAACACTTAGAGACAGAAACAAACCCACGGTACTGAAATGTACTCGTCTCAAGGCACCTAACGATAGAGCCGCTTTCTCCTGTGCTAGCACAAACCCGCCTGGAAACAACCATCACAGACCCCAGAATCATTACAGGCTCCCTGCCATCCTGCACGGCCCCACTCTGCCGTGACGCTGTCTAGAGTCAGCTGTGACTTATGTCGAGACGGTCGGAGGCCCAGAGAAAAGTCCCTGTGGTCTAATTTCAGGCCATTTTCCTGCACAGCATCAATAATACTCCTTCCCTAGGAAAATCAGGTGAGATGCAAAGTCAGACCAGAAAACCTGCCCGATAAATCATTTCGCAGATGAAAAAGAAACCAAGTGTGAAATGAGGGCCAGATGCTCTCAGATCTGCCCAGCGGGGGACACTCGCTCACACGAAGGCGTTTCCTAGGAGGGCCAGTGGGTGGGGTGTCCAGCACACGCTGCACCCCCACCAGCCTGGGTGCCCTGCGGCTGGGCCGAGCTCCTCCAAGGCCAGGAGCAGTCGGGCAGCACTGGAAGGACACGCCCACCACCCTCCAGTCCCGTGTTTCCAGGGCGAGAACACCTGATATCTAGGTACTACAGGGGCCTGAAAACCACACCACCTGTTCACAGGCGGGGCAGGCCAATGATCACGCCGAGTATTATGTTTCAACCTGCATAAAGAATTTTGCCTAAATGAATCTTATTCCTCAAAACAATCCCTTTGGGGGCGATGTGGCTCAGCGGTAGAGCGCTCACCTAGCACGGGTGAGGCTCTGGGTTCAATCCTCAACACCACATAAAAATAAATAAAATGAAAGTATTGTGTCCAACTACAACTAAAAACCTTCATACAAAAACTAATCACTTTGGGATGCTTCTGAAAATAACCCTTTTGGATTTGCTTTCAAGAGCTGGTTTTAGAACCATAAAAGAAAATCAATTTGCCAAAACAGTCTCTTTCTACACACCCACATACCTCAACAAAGGTCAGCTATTAAGTGTCAGTGTTAGTGTGAGTACTTACAAAAGTAAGAAGTATTTAAGTACAAAATAATGAAAATCCTCTTGCCCCCTGACAGGAAGCTCTGGAACAAATTGGAAGTTCAACTATCGTAATCATTTAGGCATTCACATCCTGAATGTCTTGATAATTTTCTCTACCCTTTTGTTTTTCCAGATGGGGCTTTTTGTTTCTTTGGGCTCTCATGACCCTATTTAACGGATCAGGCTCACGCGGTCTAACTTGTACTTGCAGAGGCAGATGACGGCCGGTGGCAGGCAGGGCTTGGAGCAGCAGCAGGGCTGTTGGAGGCTGCTGCCCCACGGTGCCTCGATTCTGCCCGGCTTCTCTCTGCTCTGCCTGTCCAGCCCCAGGCCGTGCCCCGACTCTGACGCTCCGTCGCCGTCTAGAGGGGATTTGACTCAGAGCTAAGGCCGAGATTTGGACAGAAGGATTTTAAAAATGTATTTGGTTTGTAGAGTTTTTAGAATATGTCATGTGTGTGGTAAAGACGAAATAGAGTGTATGTAAATCAGAATTCTAGCCTGAATCGGGCGCTGTTCCTGGGTTATTCTGTGAAATCTGTCTTGTGGCTCTCTCTCCACAATGACGGCCCCGAGGAGTGAAGCCATTTTCTCCAGATCAGTGTTGTTCCCAGCACTTCTAGGCCACGGCGGTGCTGGGCGGTTCACCTCAATGATAGAGCTGGGAAGGGTCAGGACCCAAGGCCGGACAGGGCCATGGGAGGTGAGGTCTGTCCATCCACAGGCTCCACCCAAACCCCTCTCCAAGTGCGAGGAAGGCCTGAGCGCTCAGCTTGGGCTTCTGCAGCTGCTGTCCCCAGGTCCCCGCTCGCCTGGCAGTGACGCAGCCTGGCTGCCGTGAGTGTCATGACTCACCCTTCCCAGCCTCTTTTCCTCCCCGACTCCCGTTTTTTCTCACTTTATTGTGACAGAATCTGTTCTCTCTCCTTGGGACTGTACTTCAAACCCCTCTGGTACGGTGGTGGCGTTCCAACCCCCCAACACCGGGGAGCTCGCTGGGGGCACCGCGGGGTTTGGTGCTCCTCTTCTCTGCCTTCTCAGGCAGAGCAGCCAGCTGCGGCCGAGGGCTGTGCTTTATGGCCTCCCCAGGCCGTGCATATTCATTGTGACATAAATAATAATGGTGCAGTGAAACGTCAGCCAGAGATACTTGGTTTTAGGTGGTAAATTTTCAAAGGGGTGGATATGGTTTTCCATTAGCACTGAAGGAAATCGTGACACTGGATCCTTCGAGTCCTAAGACAATTAGGGAATTTACATTAACGATTGATTGGCTTTGCAGTGATGAATCATGTTGATGGATCTGCTGCCCGAGTGGCAGAGATTGAGTTGGACACTGCACTGCAGGGGCCCCCGAGGCCTTGCATGTCTGCTGAATCTCACTGCAGTCTATTTAGCTTCTATATTTAAAATGCAACCACCTTCCAAATGTCAGCACTTAACCTCTTCCCCTTGTACAAAACTTTACAAAAATTATTTTAAAGAACCTGCTAATTTATAGATTTCCTTCTGAGAAAAAATAAAGGCTATCCATGAAAGAAATGCTTCAGAACTATTATTGCAAATGTGACTTTGTAACACATGCAATTTGGAAAGGTACCAAACGCCTGAAGAGGGGAGGGCGCCTGTGGGAAGATGCACAGCTCCTGGGGACAGGCTGGGCACACCGGCAGGCTTCCTGCTGGGGAGTCAGGGAGGGTGCGCTTTACCTGTTGTCGACCTGATGGTGGATGTCATGTTGGAGGGCGTTGTCCCGGGGACACATTCATCATCCTGGGAGTAACCAGCTTGGATGGCTCGAAGGTAACTGTGACTCCTTGTTCGGAAACATCCGGGCAGGTCGAGGGCATCCATGGCCTGAGATTCAACTTCACTAAAGACGGATTCACACACCGACTCGAACTGCCCATTGATCTCTGCTTCACTCATCTAGAACAATCAACAGCACACTTGATACCTGAATCCAGCAGGGTTATCCCTACCACATTACACAAGAATCAGGAAGACAAGAATTCATCCCACGACATTCACCTACGGTCTTATATTTTCAGCACAGCTAATTTGAAATCAGCATTGGAAATCTGTTAAGCTTGGGAAACAATTTATTGAGTTATTTCTTACAAAACACGAAGATGCATAGCCACTTCCAGAAGATGATGAGATTCTGTGGACCCACAGTCAGGCTGGGCTGTGGGCTGTGGATTAGCAGGAAGACCCAGAGCAGGGCACCCACAAATCTCACACGGTGCCTGGCACAAAGCTGGCATTCAAACTGCTCACCCCTCCTCATTTCCAACAACCTGTCGCCCTTCTGAGCCACTCTGCCCAGGCAGCTCTGGGTTGGGGCTGTGCTGCCAGACCACACCCCAGTACAAGCTGCCTTAGTGCTTTCTCAGGGTAGAGGTTGCTCTCTTTGTCAGGGAAACGCGTCACCAGGGGCACAGCCCCTTCACCCGCCTCGTCGCCACTGTGTGAGCCAGTGCAGGTGAGCGGGACGCATCCTCCGGGGGTCTGAATGGAGCAGGTCATCTCAACCGCACCCCCAGGCTCCCCCCCTTAGCTTGAGGTGCTACATGTTGACTTCCTTTGATTGTGTAAAGATAAGCGATAATTTTGCAGACTTTCTCTTTCTCCTTCTCTGATGCTAAGGATCAAACCCAGAGCCCTGAGCATGCCAGGCAAGTGCTCCATCCTGAGCCATGCTCCCGCTCACTGTGCTCAAAGAAGCACTGTGCTGGCCCTAGAAGTTGGGGTCTGGGTTTGGGGGTTCGTGGGCTGCAACCTCAGCTCAGTCTCGGGGCTCTGCTTTGGAGACAGCTGGGGAAGACACGCTCCTTCCGAGGTACCCTGATGGATGCTTGTCCATGTCCCTGGGACAGATCTGGATAGTTGAGTGGAAGTCCAAAGCACTGAGGGGATGGGGAGGTGGAGTGGGGACTTTGAGGCCTGAGGAGCTGGAATGGGGCTGGGAGCTCAGGCCAGTGCTCTGCTAGGGCAAGGGGCTGATATCAGCGTGAACACGTCAGCTCTTCTATAGGGGCATCTCTCCACGGGATGGACCGCGACTTTGATAAATGACCTGTCACGTCTGCGTACTCGTACACCCTGGGCCTCTCCCTCACGTGGTTGTGCACCCACCAACATGTGTGTGCACTTGGGGGTGCTTGCCAATGACACTGATGGGTGGGGCTGAGTCTCCCTGGGACACAGCAAGAAGACAGAGTCAGAGCTGGGAGGGGAGCAGCGCTCATGGGCACCTGCCAGCTGCTCTGGCCACCCCTCCTGCTCGTCTTCCTGCCCGCCCTGTGCCACGGCATGTGGAGCAGAGCTCTGGGGCTCAGGCCCAGAGTCCCGCTGGCCACAGTGAAGCCCAGCAGGTGCCACTGGGCATCAGGTGCTCTTCTAGGCTCAGGCCCCTTGCTCTCAGCCACAGGCCTCCAGCTTCCCAGGACCCCTGTCTCAGTGCGTGTCCAGGACTGTCACTCACAACTCCCCCAGGCCCGCATCAGAGCTGAGAGCAGATCCTCTACCCTGCAGGGCTCATGGCTTGTCCAGTGGCACTGGGGCCAGGTGGCCTCCTGCCCCCGCCACCGCTCCCAACTCCCCTCTGGCCTATCCCCTCACTCTCCTCCTTCTCCACCCACCAACTCCCTTCCATCCTGTCGCTGATGCTTACATTGTCACCCCTCAAATATCTACCCCTCTTGCTTCTCTGTCCCTCTGCCCTCGCTCCTGTATCTATCCCTCAGTTTCTGTTCATCTGCTTCCCCTCCTGCTTCTGTCCCCCGATCCCTCTCCTGTCTCTGTCCCCTGCTCCCCTCCTGTCTCTGTCCCCTGCTCCCCTCCTGTCTCTGTCCCCTGCTCCC